TACCAATTTACATATAGATGAAAAAGAACCTGCATATTTAATTTTTTCAAGTATTTTATTTGGGTGTCTGCAGTCGGGATTGTTATGACTGGGTCTATTTTTGGTAAATTGATACAGCTTTTATAACAAGGTACCCAACAGAGAGGTCAAGTGTGAAATGTAAATGTCTGCTCTACTTCTTTTAGCTATGTATTTTATCACCTGTTTACATATTGACCTATTTACATTGTATAATCAAATATCTGTCTGCATATAATTGTTTTTCCATAACTTTTTACTCTGTGACTTTTTATGCATAACTGCAAGTCTCCTTGTCAAAATGCTGTGTAATATTTGGAATGTGCAAGAAAATATCTAGAAGTTTTTAATGCATATTAGCTTAAATGATGTCACAGTGGTTCCCAAGGCTTTGAGAAATCAACTAGACATGTGGTCCAGTAAACCATTTTCTTAACTCGACCAGACTTTTTTTACAGGACATTTACACATAAGATTTTGGAAAAAATTAAAAATTTTACTGGTCATTTGGTCCAGTAATGCATATCACTTAACTGGACCAAACCAATTTTTACTGGACTTTGCCCAATGTCCGGCAACCTTGGGGATGATATTATTGTGATGAAAACCTGAGTTCTCATGATATTTGTCAACTTAACTTTGACAGCCTATGATTAAGATCTTGAACATAGTTATACTGCTAGACTAGACCTACAGTACTTTAAATCGGTCAGTTGGTCAGTACTTTAATGTTTCTCAGGGTGCAATATGAAGTATGGGATAAGTGTTCTTATGACTACCCCTATGTAGTTTCCGCATTATTTTTATCTGCCTAAAATATAAATAATTTATTAATAAATGTTCATATTTAGCTCCTGAATTGTATGTAGTCAAACAGTATTTAATACCTTTTAAATGACTTTTAATTTTAAATTGGATGCATTGAAATAACATTGTATTAGCCTCAACATTGAATTTTGTTTATACCACTAGTACGAAGCAAGCTGTATGGATAGAATAAGGTTGTTAGGATAAAGATTTATGATTATAATGGAGCACCAAACAGCATTTGCTTTGAAAAGACATCCTCTTGAACCCTCTTCACAGAAAAAGCATAAACTTACATGGAGAGGGGATTCAAAAGGATATGTCTTTCTTTTGGTTCATTTATAATTTATTCAGAAATTATTCGTTGGGAAATATGTGAGGAATTGCTTCAATGATAAAGTGAAGTCAAATTGGTATAAAGAACTTCTTGTAAATAGTGTAACTTGTAAGTAATTAACAGAGATATGCTTCTGTGACCTTGGCAATGACTTTCTAGCTGTATTGCAGATTTTTCTTCCCTGTGAACATGAAATCATTCAACTTGATTCAGTGATTGCTAGGTGTTTTCTTTTTGGGATATTAAGTTATTAACCTGTTCTGTTCAGTAACAGAGTCTGTTCTTTAAGCATTTAATCAGTCAAATATATTCTTTTCTGTCTTTTGTATCATTTGAATTGCAAACAATGTACCCGGTATGTTTGAATTTCTTGACTGCTTTGTCTGTTTAAGAATTGCTTTGATTTCCCGAAAACTGTGTCTCTTTTACCAGTACTAGACAGAACAAACTTATTAGTCATTATTTTATTCACAAGAAATTTGAATGGCCAGAACTTCAGTTACAACTTAAATATATAAAGGTATTTATATAAAGATTTAAACTGTATATATACTGAATGAAGATACTTAATAAATCGGTGATGCAGAACGCAATATTAGATAACTGTCTTATAGAATAAGCTTTTTCTGCTCTAGTAGTTTAGTTTATTTGTGGTCAGGTAAAAATGAACCAGGTTGGTTGTTCATTGAACAACAGAAAAGACTATTGATTTTTGTATTTCCAATAATGACCTTATTTTTGGATTTTATATTTAGTGTTGGATAATGCTTAGTTACACATGAGTAGTTCTGGAATTTGTCAATAAGTGATGTTGGGTTTCTAAACAGCCAGGGCACTTATAAATATGTGTTTAAGATGTCCAGGTTTGTGTATTGATTTTATTTTTATAAATGGATAGATATGTCAGTTGAACAGGGAAATGTATTAAAAATATTGAAAAATTGTTTGATTTCTTTGTTTGGAGATATACTGATGTCATCTCCATGCTTAAATTTACATTAGTTGTAAATTCAGGTGGGTTATCTAGAAATATCATTGAAAAAGGCTGTTGTTATTTTGCATTGTGTAATTTACTTCTTGTATTTTTATTTGATAGATTTTGCATAATCTATCAAATTTTGCATAATCTATCAAATGTCTGAATTAGAATTAAAAGTATAAAATTTATTGCATTATGTTCACAGCATTTTGGTTCACTGTTCTCATAATTCATCAGTTAGTATTAAAATCGTTAAAGAATGACTCAAAAAGGAAATGTTTTCCGGTTTGTAGATTAAATATTTTTAAAAGATATGTACTTTTAAGTGGGTATGATAATACATGTATAGTGTATCAGAAAATGTTGATTTTATCTTTGATACATTAATGTTTTAGTGACTATCAAATTGATATCGATTTTTTTTCATATTTAATAACAAAGGAATTCGAAGTAGATTAGAATTGTAGGCTTATTTAGTAAATAGCAATTTATTTTGTGATACATGTACTTAAGAAGAAAAATCATACAAGTTAAGGAAGGAAAGTTTTACCTTCCCCTTCCTTTATAATGAATAAAAAAAATGTATGTATCTGAAAATTGACAATTTCAATTTTTCATTCAAATGATTTGAAAGTAGGACCAGAAAAAAACAATAGTGAAATTAGAACGATCCAATATACGTGTGTTCTGATTCTATCAGGTCTGTAGAAATTTACTGAATGTGTCTCATGACATAATAAAACATTATCATCCACTTGTGCAACAAAAAAAAATCATAACGCTATATATATTGAAGCCTCATGAATTGTCCATTTTTCTAATAGTTACTTAAAATAGAACGGTAATTTCAATTCTATTTATTCAATGATAAGAGTCCTTGGTTTACTGAATGTGTCTCATGACATAGTAAAACATTATCATCCGCTTGTGCAACAACAAAAAAAGAAACATAACGCTATATATATTGAAGCCTCGTGAGTTGTCCATTTTTCTAATAGTTACTTAAAATAGAACGGTAATTTCAAATCGATATATTCATTGATAAGAGTCCTTGGTTTATTTCTGAATTTAATCAAATTCTTTTTTAAAAATTAGGAACATATGTGCGGTCTTGAAATACAACCAAAAAAAAAGTAACGGTAAATTGTGCAGTATTGAAACCTTTTAAGTTGTCGATTTTTCTGCTAGTTACTATAAATAGGAAGGTGATTTCCAATCGTTGTATTCATTTACATACGTCTTCGTTTATTTTCTAAAAAGAATAAAAAAATTAGAAACGTGTCTAGTCTGGTAATGCAACCTAATTAAAGAAAATGATGAATTTTTTTATGTTTTTTTCTAAAATTAGGAATACCAAGTCAATCTTAATATTCAAACTGAGGATTGCATAATTACACAGCTACAGATTATCCAATCTTGATCGTTACTGCTATGTCTTTTCTAAGTTTAAAACAAGAAAAAAAATACTGGTTTGTGAACTGATTTTCAGACATAGCTGGGTTAATTATTTATATCTGATGGTAATTTTTTTTTTAACTTGGCCTGTTTTTATACCATGTCACTTGGGTTTCTTCTTGAGACCTCATTATTGTGAGATTTGAATCAATGATATACACAATAGTTGAAGGTAAAAGGATTAAGTATGTATCAATGGATCTATTTATCTCTTATTGTGGATCTTCTATCATTATCTAAATCTGTAATACATGAATAGGTTTGTGGAGTAGATCTGTAATGATCTTGACTTCCGTTTAACCTTTTGGGAGGGTGTATGGAGGTTCAGAGAAATTATGTCTGATTGCAGATATGTTCTAATTGTTATTCGTCATTTTCGATTCTTGATATTTTTGAATTTCTGTGTCAATGTTGATTTAAGAAATTGTTATCTTGTGCATTTCACTGTAATTTTAAATGACAGTCCCATTTAAAATTTGAAATAGTTGATTTATATGAGATGGCATGATAAACTGTTTCAAGTAGTGTGTTATCAGTTTAAAAAAATGTAGTTTATCTTGCAGTAAATGTTTATTAATGCATTTATTGTATAGCAACAATATATTTCATACAGAACACAACAAAAAGTTTGCTTTAGATAATATATCATATTGCACTGGTGTGGATAAAACTTCAAATTAGTGTCTACATCAGTGACAAAAGTATGTTTAAAATTTTTTTTTAATCTTTTAATTATGCTATCCAAGAGTTATTTGCTTGAATATTGGTCCCTTTTTATTTTAATATATATTGCACTCGCAATATGAAATACTACTGGGGACAATATTCGCCAATATTCAAGCAATAACCCAATATAATTGATTTTATACTTTTCAAAAGGTAATACTGTGAATATTGTTTTCCCAACATACATAAGAAGGCCTCGGTGGCTGAGTGGTGTAGGTCTTTTATCTACTGTATTACTAGCCTGTCAACACTGAGGTTGTGAGTTTGAACCCTGCATGTGGCTGGTGTGTTAGAATTCAATCTTAATTGACTAGAGTTTTCATTTTTCCATGCTGAAGGTAGTGGCTCCTTCTGAACACTCTTGGCTTCCTCCACCAATAAAAACTAGTCGCCATGAAATAGTCAATAGGGCTGAAAGTAGCTTTAACACTAAATATCAATCAATCCTAACATCCATGAAAGCTTGCAGAGTTTCGGGATTATCTCTTTCTGAAGGTTGCTTAAATAAAGCAAGAAGTTCATAGCAAATTAATGAATTTTAAAAAAGGCAGCATTTGTTAATTTTGGTAAGAAAGTAAACAGTGAATGGTTTTAGATGAACTTCAAGGAACGAAAAAGCATTTTGAATTATCTATATTTTAAGGAAGAAAAATTGAACTTGTATTATTTTATTTACAGAACAAATATAGAACATTACCTGTGATGTCTAATGGACTATCCTCAGCTGGTTTACCTGTGATGTCTAATGGACTATCCTCAGCTGGATTACCTGTGATGTCTAATGGACTATCCTCTGCTGGATTACCTGTGATGTCTAATGGACTAGCCTCAGTTGGGTTGCCTGTGATGCCTAATGGACTATCGTCAGCTGGATCAGAATCTCACATAAATACATTATGGCAGCAGCAGTTAGAATTAATGCACAAATCAGTCAACGCCTATCAGAAAATGGCCAGTTATGGCAGCAATAGTGCATTATTCCAGAATCCATATCTTCCATACTCAGGGTACGGTTTCTATGATTACCCAGATACAGGTAAAAAAAGTAGCAAAAAACATGTTGAAAAGGCTCCTGAAAAAAATTCGTTACAGTCATCTCAACACTCATCAGGCCAAAAATCAGCCAATAACACTCAACAGAATCTGAACAATTATGCACAAAATACTGAAGAAAATTCACTGAATCAGCTTTCAAAATATGAGACACAACAGCTCCATCATGAAACCACTGTCCATTGGAAACCATCTATAGATAACATCAACTCTGCTCAAAATCACCATAGTCATCCTTCACATAGAAACCAGGAACTCATGTTATCACCGAATCAAGACATGGGTAAAGGGCAGCAACTAAGAAAACAGGAACCCATGTTATCACCTAATCAAGTCTTTGGTAAAGGGCAGCAACAAAGAAAACAGGAACCCATGTTATCTCCTTATCAAGACTTTGGTAAAGGGCAGCAACAAAGAAAACAGGAACCCGTGTTATGTCCTTATCAAGACTTTGGTAAAGGGCAGCAACTCATAAGACAAGAACCCATGTTATCACCTAAATCACCTTATCAAGACTTTGGTAAAGGACAGCAACAAAGAAAACAGGAACCCATGTTATCCCATAATCAAAACTTTGGTAAAGGGCAGCAACTTCCACTGGATTTTAGTCAGGCAAATCTAAATCAGTCTCCAGTGGATTTTAGTAAACATAAACAAAAAGCTTCCATTTATTTTCCAATGGAATTCAACACAGATCAGCATTGTTCATCACATAGTAAAACTACAGGTAATTTAGGAGGAGTCCAGCTAAATGGTAATGAAGCCATTTCTTCTAACTTGAATTATCAAACACATTTAGAAATAAATACTACTAACTATGAGACTGGTCATAGCAGTGATAAATTATCAACAAACCCACAATCTCTCTATCTCATGGATTCTCCGCCTTTTCCAAACAAGGAAGTTAAGAAAAAACAAAAACTGAATTTAGAATCAGAATTAAAATCACCATCTCAGGAAAACAGAACTCTTCAAAAACAGGGAGATATGCAAAATGGCCAGTATCCATACATGCCGTATCCATTTCTTCCGAATTACTACAGTGATCCACATATGATGAAGGCCTTAATGGCTCACCAGAAAATGTACACAGAGAATGCAATAGGCCAACCTGGTCAGAAATTAAAAAGAAAATCATCATCCAAAGATGTGGATGGCAAAAAAGTAAAGAGAACCAAAAAATCTGGTGAAAAATTAAATAAAAAAGGAGAACAAATTATAAATATGGATAAAAAAGTTTGTGATAGTCAAACTAAGAGTAAAAGCAAGATTTTATCAATGGATATTAAAAAGTCATTGCAGGCTAATTCTGTGGCGCTTAATCAGATTCAAAGCCGTGTTCAAGAAATTTTAAATTCGGCTGCAAAAGAAATGAAGCAAGGTATAAAGTCAGGAATAGACCCATCAACTACGGATGTCGAAATGGATGCTGATTTTTTAGATGCTCATGAACAGTTATTAAATCCAGGAACAGATAACTCTAATTCTACTATAAATAATGATAATTTCAATTTTACTTCAAATCCTTGTTGCAATAATTGTGAGAAACTTGGACAGCGTTATTCTCCGCTGTGTGAAGAAAAATCCAAGAGAAGTTCTGTTAGTGATTTACCAGAACTGATAAGTGATAACAAAAATATTTCTTTGGATTTTAGTGTCAAAGCTCCAGTGGCCAGTAAAGTAACAGATAATTCCATGTCAGACAAGTCATCTGACAGTGGAATCAGACATAAAGTAATAAATGCCAGTAGCTTATATGATTTTGAGGACGATTATTCAGACATGAAAACTGACGTGATTTCTTCCAGTGCAATTATTGAAAAAAAAGCAATCCCCAGTACTTACACTTTTCAACCCATGTCTCAAAGCTCAGCAGTACTTCCAACATTTAGTTCTTTGTTCAAAAGTTCAAGTTTTCAAAATTCACAAAATAAAGAAAAAGAAAGAAAATTAACAACACAAGTGACGTGCAAGTCAGATAGTAGTAATGCATTGTCAAAAAAACCAAGTGATATGGTTAGGGTTCTTCAGGCAAGTCCAGACAAAATCAGTCTTGGAAATATGAGCAATGGACTCGAAAACATGCCAGCTCCAACTGAGGAAAAAAACACCGGTAGTAATAATTTTATAAATAATTTTACAATGGGAAACTTCAGTAACTTTGTTCCTTATTCTACTAGTTCCAATTTGGAAATTAAACATGAAAGCTCACCAGTATCATCTGCTAGTGTATATCCAGTTTCTTCATCCAATACAAGTGCTAGTTGTTCAAATTATTTGGATTATCCAATTACTCCTGTTATTAATAGTGATTCTAATACAAAAGTCTCTGAACAAATTGCGGAGGAAATTTTCAAAGCGCCCAATAGTGCAAAAAGCTCAGTTAGTGCTATTTCTAGACTGGAAAAGAATCTGTCAAGTTTGGCTCCAGATAGGAGTTTTGAAAATGATGAAATGGATGAAAAATTGGAAGATTTATCTTTATTATTAGATTTTGAAAATTCAGATGACGAAAAGGAAAATCTGTTTAAAAATTCAACTCCAAAATCAATTGGAGGAGATGGTGATCTCTTACTTGATATGAAACCTGGAGAAAGTATTCCAGAATCTGGTTTGGACCAGTTGGCCTGGGTAGCAGATCAAGTACAGAAGATAAAGACCAAGATCACTGGCGCCGATGACGAAGATGATGATGATTTAACAACACGTCTGCAAAACAACACAAAGATTGAAATGCCTCAATGTGGATGTAGAGGTCCTGGATGTAAGTTTCTAAAAAAGGGGTTGGGAAGGACTATGTGTTTTAGTTAGGGATCTGAGATACTGGCCCTTTGTTCTGTGGATTCATTTTTTTTTAAGAAAATTTGTATTTTCGTAGATATTTGATTTTGTGGTTTTGCCAATGTCTGCATAATTATACATGCCTATAGAAAATTTGAATACTGAATACAATATAAAAATAAGGAGATGAGGTATGATTGCCAATGAGACAACTATCACCAAAGTTCAAATAAAGTGAATGTAAGCAATTATAGGCAACAGTACAGCCTTCAACAATGAGAAAAACCCATTCCATATAGTGAGCTATAAAAGGCTCTGAAAATTATGAAACAATTCAATTGAGAAAACTAACGGCCTAATTTATAACAAAACAAATAACGAAAAACAAATATGACAGACATGAACCAACAACAACCACTGAACTACAGGCTCCTGACTTGGGACAGGCACAGAATGTTGCAGGGTTAAATATACAAAGTTATTTAATCTAGGTGGACACGTTTTCTTTTGCTGTCAATTTATTCTGTTATTTGATGTTAAAGATATGTGCAATGAAACTATTGATATAAAAAATAAGAAGATGTGGTATGAGTGCCCGTGAGACAACTCTCAACCAGAGAACAAATGACGTAGAAGTTAGAACAAGACTTTCTCCCAATTTTTGTGAAATAGATATAAGAAGATGTGGTATGAGTGCCAATGAGACAACTCTCCATCCAAGTCAAAATTTATAAAAGTAAACCATTATAGGTCAAAGTACAGTCTTCAAGCATTTTTAAATTAAAGGAGTGTAGTACACAATATGATACACCATTGTTTTACAGGTATTTCATTATACATAATTGATTTTACTTATTTATGGTATATAACAGTATCAATTACTGTAAATTCAGAAATTATTGCGTGCATTTATTATTGCGATTTTGTCAATTTAGACTAATATGCGATTTTAATTTTTGCAATATTGAGAAAAATCCTGTTTAATTCATATAACAAATTTTTAAATGCAAGTTTAAATTATTGCGATTATAACCCTGTCGCATTTTTCGCAATAATAAAGACATCGCAATAGTTTCTGAATTTACTGTAGTTTTTACTCAACTCATTCTCGACTGTTTTGACTGAGAAAATTGAGTAAGTTACTCTTATGAAGAAATAAGTAAATACAGCTAAAAATTGACAACAACACTTAAGTAAACTTTTATCGGTTTCATCTTATAAGTCCTTTAGAACAACCAACATGGCCAATTTTTCTTAAAAGTAGAAGATTTGAGTATAAAAATTCTTTGTTATTTTTTCAGCTGTTTTTATTATCAAATGATGGTATTCAGAGCAAAATTTTAAAAGATTTTTGTTTGTTTAATTTTGATTTGGGTCATGTGGGTTAAAGTTTTCAGACATCAATAACTTTATCAAACTTTCTTTGAATTTTATGAAACTTTGGCAGCAGCTTTATTATGGTTAAGAGATAGTGTTAACCAAATTTTGGGAAAAAAATTACCTCATTTTCTGGGTTTTTTACTAATAAATGGACTTGGGTTTTTTTGCAGGCAGTAAACAATTACATACAGTTTGGGATTAAACAGTTTTGAAACAAATAACTTTGTTAAAACGCCTTCGGGTGCGGGAATTTCTCGCTGCATTGAAGACCTGTTGGTGACCTTCTGCTGTTGTCTGTTCTATGGTCGGGTTGTTGTCTCTTTGACACATTCCCCATTTCCATTCTCAATTTTATTATGGATATTCTAAACTTGGACAGAAAGTTTTTAAGGGGGGGGGGGGGGGGGTATTTGTGGATTTAAACAATACATAAAGGAATCGACAGTGCAAGACCTTCATGGGTAGTCAAAGTCGTTAAAAATCCCTCTTGTAGACATAAAGTTGAAAAAGTCTGAAATCATGAAATCAAAATTTTAATACAATAGTCCAGATTTAAAAAAAGAACAACAGAAAACCGCAGGAATAACTGCTAAAAACATTACAAAGCAGACACTGCTATAAACTTTTGTACATTTATTTGTTGTCAAACATTACAGTGATTCATTGAGCTTCTAAAAATATGGCATGCATGTACTTCAGAAGGTCAAAAATTGTCTTTTTACATCATTTAAAAACTAATTTTGACAATTTTGTACAAAAACAGTTATAGCCTATAGGCAAAAGTTCACCTGACAAATTGACTATCCGTTAAATGAATTGTACCTTCTTAATGACATTGTAAAAGGTCAAATAGATTACATGTTGGTGCATAATAAAAACCCATCATCTTGTAATCACATTATTTAAAACCAGAGGTAAACAAAAAAGTTTTAAGTTTATGTGTACTCTTAGCCATTTTGTCAACTCAGCACATCTACATAAATAAATATGTAAAAATATTGTAATGAATAAAACAGATTGTAATTTATCTGTTGATCTACCTTTAAGCGGTTTTACAAGCCAGGATTAAAAGGTTTAAATGTTAAAATACTTAATATATAAACATATGTGAATTATTAAATCTTGTAAATAACTGTTAGAGTACTACTAGATTGTTAATAGTTTATATCATTTTTCCCTTTTTTAAAATGTTTTTTGGTTGGAAAGGTAATTTTAAAAATCATTTGTTAGACCATCTTTAGGCAAACAAAATATAGTTGAGTTTCCTGCCTCCCAAACTACTCTAAATTTACCTGCCATTCCTAAAATATTTTATGGACATTTTTTGTTTAGCTCTACTAAAGTTCTGACATTTTAGGTTGGGCTCCAGTAAAGTCCAGAACATTTTCCTGTGTAATCTACGTAAAATATTTATGGACATTTTTTGTGTAGCACTACTAAAGTTCTGACATTTTAGGTTGGGCTCCAGTAAAGTCCAGAACATTTCCCTGTGTAGTCTACGTAAAATATTTATGGACATTTTTTGTTTAGCACTACTAAAGTTCTGACATTTTAGGTTGGGTTCCAGTAAAGTCCATTTCCCTATGTAGTCTACATAAAATATTTAAAAAATGAAATCTTTTTACCTACCTTAGGTTTCATGTACCTACCTTGTTTTTTTTTTATGCCAGTAGACAGACATATATTTTGATTACCCTACATATGAAATTTGAAAGAGATTGATTCAGTATGATTGTAGGAGCAACCCTTGGCCACACATTAAAGCCCAATAAAAAATAATAAATGACCGATAAAAATCTAAAACTAACACTGCAATTATTTTATTAAAATATTATGCTTGATATTATATACCGTACTTTAATTTGTTGCAGCAGTTTAATGCAAAGTCTTTGGTTAATGGATTCTCAAATTTTAAATATATTTTTAAAGATCTAAGTACAATAACTTACATATTTTAGTGGATGCTGTATGGTAATTTTTTGGAAAGGGAAGATCAGGAACACCATTGACATGCATCAATCAATTCACTGTTTTTGACTCATTGTTTAGCATTTTGTTGATGAAGTTGTCTCTGAAAAAAAAAAACTTGAAAATTGTCTTTGTTGAGTTAACATTGTTAATTTAAGACAGTAAAAAAAGCTATACTCATTACAGTATTTAAGTATACAAATATTGTAAAAAGCTAACAAAGGGCACGGTCCCACCAAAGTACAAAAAGCAGAAAAGATTTTAAAAAATTACAAAATATATTTTTCATTGACAGATACCCCAACAGAAGAAGTAGAAGGGCCATACTATACACATCTAGGGGCTGCAAGAAGTGTACAAGCCGTTAGAGAACTTCTGGAGAAAAGGTAGGTTAACTATTTCAATTTTGATTGGGTTAATTCATTTGAGCTTTGATGGATTGTTGTCTCATTGGTAACCATACTGCATAGCCTCATTTTTGTATTAGAAATGTCATGAATTTTAAAAGCAAAAACAAACAAAACGACCTGTTTGGATTCCTTCTGAATTTATGTTTAGAATTGTTGTGGTCCGTTTAGTCTCCCATATATTCTGAAGTGTTAAGTGGCTTGAACTGCCTTCCTTACTATGCATAAGAAGGTTATCTTTCTTTTGAAGTATGAGCACAGGAGGGTATGAAAAGAAAAGTCAACATGAAGGCTATACAATGACCTATAGTTTCTATCTTCTACATCATTTGGTCTATGGGGAGAGTTTTCTCATTAGCAATCATACCACATCTTGCTATACGCCCGTTTACAGGACGTATTATGGTATACCGTTGTCCGCCAGTCTGTCCGTCCTCACGTCTGTCTGTCCGTCCGTCGTCAACATGTCGGACAATAACTCCAAAACACTTAAACCCATTTGCATGAAACTTTGGTGAATTGTTTATATCTATTGACATGAGTTCCCTTTCGATTTTTATTAATTTTAGATTTTACGCTTCCAAGTTGTGGGGTTTTATTCATTAAAAAAGGGGGATTTTCCAGTTTTCGGACAAAAACCCAAAAATGCTTTGAGCAGTTTTCTTGAAACTCTGGTGAATTGTTTCCATCTATTAACGTACGCTTCCTTTTGATTTTTATAAATTTTAGATTTTAATTTTCTGAGTTATGGGATTTTATTCATAAAAAAGGGGGGATTTTCCAATTTTCGGACAATTACTCAAAAGTGCTGTGAGCACTTTTCATGAAACTTTGGTGACTGTTTTATATGTATTAAAATAACCTCCCTATAGTTTTTTTTATAAATTTCTGATATGACATTGAGGAGTTATGGAACTTTATTCTTTGAAAAAGTGACGGATGTATCATACTCTCATGGCGCAGCTCTTTGTTTTTATATTGTCAAGTATTTTTTTTATAGCCTGTAGTCGTGAAAGTGTGCACATTTTATGATTATATCAAAATACTTAATTTTGTATTAGACAAACATATTAAGTCGTTACATTTTGCCTATAAAAATTAAGTAAGAATTCAGAAGTTAAAGATTGAATTTTTTTTGCCAACTTGTATGATTTTTTGGAAAAAAAATTTCCAGTTATCAGTGCTGTTAATTTGTGAGAGCTAATTTCCTGATGCGGGTAGAGTATCGCTTTGGTTGGCTTGCTTACCTCGTGGGTCACTTGGGGGCGGATCCAGCCATTTTTCAAAAGGGGGTTCCTTACCCAGGATAAAGGGGGGTTCCAACTATATGTCCTCATTCAAATGCATTGATCGTCAAAAAAATAGGGCGGTTCCAACCCCGGAAACCCCCTGGATCCGCCACTGTTTAACTCCACCTATATATATTGTTTGCAGATGACAATCTTAATTACAATGCTTGAGCAAACATTTAAACAAACGAAGAAAGCAAGCCAACAAAAGTCTTACTCTACATGCAAAAGGAAATTGGCTCTAACAATGAGATACACATACAATTGCCTACTTTCCAAAAAATAATGACAACCTGTGATATATAATTACTCTGACAGCTTTAATACACTGTGTCACATGTCATTTTATATAACCAGAAGTGACGGTTTTCCTTGACTTTAAAAGTTTAATGTTTTTGTACTTTAACACTGACCTTGAAATGTCTGTTGTGTCTGCAGCTATTGTTCATTTGGTGCAGTTAGGGTGAAGTTGTATTTGGGGGATGTTTATTGACATTTTATGACATAATATGTTAACCATTAAAACTCAGTACCGACAGGTCATACACATGTTTGAAATTAAAACATTCTTTGGATTATGATATATCACAGAAGGTTTTGAGGTTGCAAATTTACATATGGTATACTTACACACAAAAATAAACAAAATTAATAGTAATAACACATTGTAATACAAGCATCATTTGTAATGTCAATTTAAATGTAATATCAATTTAAATGTGATATTTTCATTGTTATTTATAATGCATTTTTTTTTAACTTTCCACGAGAGACTGTCATCATTTTACTAAAGAAAAAAATGTGACGGAAGAAGGCCTAATGTCAAATTGTCTTGCTGATAGTTCAAAAACAACAATAAATATAAATGTATAAAACAGATTTCATTGAGATTAACTTGTGAAGATGTATCTTCTCTATCTGAATTTCTTCACAAAATTTAAAAAAAAATTTAGATAGAAAAACTTTACAGGTTTTAAAAAAAATACACACAAGCTTAGGCAGATAACTGTTCAAAATCACTGTTCCAGATCTAACATCAATCATATTACATGACGATTTCAACTAAAAATATGTTAAAAATTAGAATAAAAAAAAATATGCAAACTATGACTGTGACATTAAACAAATATGATAATATGAACATTATATTGTTATTAACTTTTCAAGTTCTCTCAAGCTAATGATTTTGATTGTATTTTTCTTCCAGGACTGGAATGACGGGTAAAGCTATCCGGATAGAAAAGATTCGTTATACTGGTAAAGAAGGGAAGAGTTCTCAAGGATGTCCTATTGCTAAATGGGTTAGTATAAGTTCAAAAATGTTTTTATAATTTTATTTTTAATTTTTTGCTACATAGATTTTAGATAATACTTGTGGAACATGAATTCATGCTAACAAAAAATTTTTTAATGCTTGCATCAGAAAAATATTTCTATTTTATTTATTTTGCACAGGGATCTTGTTTTTTCTAAAATATGTTTAAAGCTGAAGACCGCCTCCGGGTGTGGGATTTTTCTGCTGTGTTGAAGACCCATTGGTGGCCTTTGGCTGTTTTCTGCTCTTTGGTCGGGTTGTTGTCTCTTTGACATATTCCCCATTTCCATTCTCAATTTTATTAAAACTTTTCCTTCTGTCAGTTTTGTTTTTCTTCTACTGCAAAAGAGGGCATACCTAATAGTTAATGAATATATCAGTAAAGTACAACTAACTTTGGTTTTGGTTAAGTTTTTTGATTCAGAATGTTTTAAGCTACATGACATTTCGTCCTGTTTTTGAAACAACGTTTAAGAAAGATTTTTGGAATGCATCAGTTTAAAATAGAAGTGACTTTGATTAACTTAAATTGCAAAAAAGAAAAGAATTTCAAGTTGACTATCAATTACAAATGAATCCATATTTACCAAGCGGCAGTAACTTTTTGTGTTTTTCATTTCATACTTGTAAAAGTGTTTTGTTGTAACTGATAGTTGTTTTAATGGTGTAATTTGTCAATTTAATTATTTAGAATTTTGTGATTAAGTGACTAATCTTATACATTTTAGAAAAGGGAGTACACTTGCACAGATGGATATTTGTTAGAAATTAAAGTACAAGTGTGACTTAAGAAAAATTCTGTCTTCTACGGACATGATTACCAAAAATTGCTATTACTTACAAATGGGAGTTGGAAATGTTTGTTCATTGTTTAAATTCAATTAAACCTGAATTTGAAATTTCCTTTCAGTAATTTGTATTTTTTATCAATTAAATCTGGCAAATATGACTGTTTTCATAACAGTAAGAAAATATAGCAAAAAAATGATGTGTGGAGAGGAGCTTTCAGGATTGAATACTGTAAATTCTGAAAGTTTGGATGCATTTATTATTGCAAAAAAGAACAAAAATGTGAGATTTATAGTTGCAATTTCAGGAAAAAAAGCAGCATACAAATAAAGCTACCAAAGTTTAAGATGTATGTGGATTTTTGTAAAACCCATTGTGTTGCTTTTTTGCAATAATGAAATTGTTGCAAAATGTTTTTTTTTAATTTACAGTAGTTCATTTCTGCCTTTTTTTCCCCCAAAAATACAGCAAACTGCTGCAATTTAGTATTTAAACACATGTAACATCACAAACTGGTTTTCAACCCAAAAAGCTTGAGAGATTCTAATGAAAAGAAAGAAATATATACAACTGATGATTTCCAGACATGAAACGATCTCAATTTATTATTTTTTTTTTTTTACAGATAATCAGAAGATCTAGTGAGGATGAGAAATACCTGTGTGTGATCAAACAGAGACCAGGCCACTTCTGTGATACTGCGTGGATTATAGTTGTGTTAGTGGCATGGGAGGGGATAGAAAACAACACTGCAGCAGATATGTATGATTATCTCAGAAATACACTTGCTGCACATGGATTTGAAACTGAAAGAAGATGTGGAACAAATGAAAGGTAAGAATATTATGTGTGATATTTGCTTATTACAGTAAACTAATGCTCGGGTGGATGTTGTCATGTCCATCTGCCCACCATGAGCAGCCCATTCCTGTCCACTATGAGCATCCAACACCTGCCCACCATGAGCTGTCTATTTCTGTCTACTATGAGCAGCCCACTCCTGTCTACCATGAGCACCCCATTCTGGCCCACTATAAGCATCCCACTCCTGTTCACCATGAGCATCCAACACCTGCCGACCATGAGCTGCCAACTTCTGTCCACCATGATTAGCCCACTCCTGTCCACTATGATCAGCCTACTTCTGTCCATCATGATCAGCCTACTCCTGTTCACCATGAGTATCCCACACCTGTCCACTATGATCAGCCCACTCATGTCTACCATGAACATCCAACACCTGCCCACCATGAGCTACCTATTTCTATCCACAATGAGCAGCCCACTCCTGTCTACCATGAGCACCCCATTCTGGTCCACTATGAGCAGCTCACTCCTGTCCACCATGAGAAGCCCATTCCTGTCCACTATGAGCAGCCAATTCCTGTCTACTATGAGCAGCCCACTCCTGTTCATCTTTAGTATCCCACACCTGTCCACTATGATCAGCCCACTCATGTCTACCATGAACATCCAACACCTGCCCACCATGAGCTACCTATTTCTGTCCACTATGAGCAGCCCACTCCTGTCTACTATGAGCACCCCATTCTGGTCCACTATGAGCAGCTCACTCCTGTCCACCATGAGCAGCCCATTCCTGTCCACTATGAGCATCCAATTCCTGTCCACTATGAGCAGCCCACTCCTGTCCACCATGAGTATCCCACACCTGTCCACTATGATCAGCCCACTCCTGTCCAGCATGAGTATCCCACACCTGTTCACCATGAGTATCACACACCTGTCCAATATGAGCAGCCCACTCATGTCCACCATGAGCATCCAGCACCTACCGACCATGAGCTGCCAACTTCTGTCCACTATGATCAGCCCACTCCTGTTCACCATGAGTATGTCTACCATGAGCACCCCATTCTGGTCCACTATGAGCAGCTCACTCCTGTCCACCATGAGCAGCCCATTCCTGTTCACTATGAGCAGCCAATTCCTGTCTACTTTGAGCAGCCCACGTCTGTTCACCATGAGTATCCCACACCTGTCCACTATGATCAGCCCACTCATGTCTACCATGAACATCCAACACCTGCCCACCATGAGCTACCTATTTCTGTCACCTATAAGCAGCCCACTCCTGTCTACCATGAGCACCCCATTCTGGTCCACTATGAGCAGCACACTCCTGTCCACCATGAGCAGCCAATTCCTGTCCACTATGAGCAGCCCACTCCTGTCTACCATGAGCACCCCATTCTGATACACTTTAAGCAGCCCACCCCTGTCCACCATGAGTATCCCACACCTGTCCACTATGATCAGCCCACTCCTGTCCACCATGAGTAACCCACACCTGTCCACTATGATCAGCCCTTTCCTGTTCACCATGAGCACCCCATTCTGGTCAACTATAAGCAACCCACTCCTATCCACTATGATCAGCCCACTTCTGTTCACCATGAGTATCCCACACCTATCCACTATGATCAGCCCACTTCTGTCCACCATGAGCAGCCCACTCCTGTCCACTATGATCAGCCCATTCCTGTCCATTAATAGTAGGGATGTCAACTCGGTGAAGATTTACTAATCGATTACTCGTTGGATTTACCGAGCGATACTTGAGTATTCGCTCGGTAAAACATTTACAAAATGGAAACACAAAATTATACCATTTATGTATTGTGGGTCGTTGTCTTATGATCGTAAAACCCTCAACATTATTACCTAGGCCCAGATAATAGTCCAAGGAATTTTATACCATAATTAATAGCTCATTTACTACACGCACTAATTATTTAAACTGGTAATAATCTAATCAAGTAATTAATTAGTATCTAAAGAAAAAATATTACTCAAGCAACAGTATTGGTGAACCGTAAAAAAACACATTTAATGATCCACAAAGGGTTGGTGATTAGAACTTACTGATGCCATTTATCATTTTCTTAGGGTCGACACAGGGTGCAACAAATTTGTTCTTCTTTAAAAATATTATCTTGTCAACCTTTTCTTGGATGTAGCGATTTCTCAGATTTGTTAGGTACCTAACAGTTCTGCTGATGAAAATGCATGCTCTGACGGTACAGAGGTGGGGGAGTAACTAAGATAAGCTAAAAGTGTAATCCTTTGAAAAATACTCTTGTTCATATATCATACATGACTTTTTACATGTACCTCTGTTTGAAGGAATTTTGAATGACAGTTAAACGCAAACATTAGAATAGTATTTTAATTTTTATTAACTTTGATTAATATATAATTTCCCGGGAGGCGCTCTCAATACAATATTTTTTGTTTAAACTTAAGAAAGCAACATCATTCTAACAGGAAACCGATTAGTGGAGTATCATTTTGGTACTCGATACTCGGTACTACCGAGCGATACTCGAGTACTCGTTGACATCCCTAATTAATAGCATCCAACACCTGCCCACTTCTGTCCACCATGAGCAGCCTACTCCTGTCCACTATGAACAGCCCAATTCTGCTGAGTAAAACCTAAGGCTAAAAATTCGATATTTTCTGCTTTTCTGCTGAACATGCAGCTTTGTGAGTTAGAGCAAGTAATTGTTGGCTTGGAGTTAGAATAATGTAACAAGATTTGGTGACATATAAAGATAAGAAGATGTGGTATGAATGCAATAGAGACAAATCTCCACAGAGACAAAACGATGTAGAAGTTATCTATAGGTCACCATACAGCCTCCAACAATGAACAAAACCCATACTGCATAGTAAGCCATGAAAGGCCCTGAAGTGACAAATGTAAAACAATTCAAATGAGAAAAAACTAATGGCCTGATTTATATACAAAACAATAAACAAAACAAAAAACAAATATGATATACAACAGCAGATGACAACTACAGGCTTATGACTTGTTACAGGCACATACAGAATATGGTGGGGTTAAATTGTTTGCTGGTGCTAACCTTGGAAAGTGGTGTAACAATACAACATAAAAACAAAATATAAATCAGTTGAAAAATCATGTTTTCAAGACCTAGATTTTAGGTGCAGTAATTATGACCAAACATGAAATCCTTTTACAGTTGATTCATTTTCCTTCACATCTTTATAAACTGTTTGGGCCTCTGTGGCCAAGTGGTCTAAGTAGTACATCTATTGTATCACTAGCATTTCAACACTGAGGTTGTGAGTTCAACTCATTCATTTTCTTTCACATCTTTATAAACTGTTTGGGCCTCTGTGGCCGAGTGGTCTAAGTAGTACATCTACGGTACTGTATCACTAGCATTTCAACATTGAGGTTGTGAGTTCAAACCCTGCATGTGGCAGGTGGTTTTGATTCCAATCTTTATTGACTAGGATTGCCAGTTTATTTAAAGGTAGGTTGTTTTCTCTGTCAACTCCAGCTTCTTTCATCAATAAAAACTGGCCACCACAATAAATCCAATAGTGCACAAAGTGGCATTATTACACTAACAATCAATCAATCATTTATAAAATGTTAATATTGTCTAATATGAAAATCGTTTTTTTTTTTCCAGGAAAACTTGTGCCTGTCAGGGAATCAATTTAGGAAAGAGAGGAGCATCATTTTCATTTGGTTGTTCATGGAGTATGTACTTCAATGGTTGTAAATTTGCCAGAAGTCAGACTGCAAGAAAGTTCAAGTTAAAAGATAGTAATAAGGTGAGTTTTTGGAAAGTTTGCTATAGCTATAAACTTTCCTAAGGCATCGGCCTCAAACCGGAAGTGACAGACTATCTTACTTTAGGATGTGTGTTCTACTCCTAGATATTGTAGTACTGGTGTTTGAAAACTAATTCTAGGAAGATGCTTTTGAGATTTTGAGTTACTTCTATTTTAATTCAAGCTGTAAGCTAATTAAAATAGAAGTATCACAAACACTACTCGAGGATCTGCACTGCACGGAAAATAAAATCAATACACACAGGAGACAGTAGTTTCTACGTTTTGCTTCGATCGGTATATTCTCCAGACATGCATGAAATCCTTTTATGTGCCTCCAAACGGGAGTACTATAATCCCGGTTTCAGGGGTTTCCTCCCGTCCTCCGGTTGAAGAGAAAATTAATACCGTGTTTAAAATATTTCACAAATGAACATTTTTCGACTCTTACTACGATTTTTACAAATGTTTATTAAAGACGTAAAAGCCTGAGTGTATCGAAAGTATCCTGGTATCTCATCTCTGCCCACAACAAACTCAAACTACAATAAATTCGGCCTATTGCATAATTGGCATCAGAAAATCGGACTGTAACAAGATTTGTAATTATACTACTTGCTAGACCGATCAGGCAATCACCAGTGCTTCTGCACAAGTGCGATGAGATTTTTACTAGACACAGGCTTTGGGCTACTGCTTAACGTCGCAGACTGTTTGTCATTCCAGGGTTAAGGGGCATCAAATGTCTGATTTAAGCTAATTTTTCACTGCTTGAGTATACATGGATTAATTTACTTTAAACTTTTTACTGATTAGTGAAATAAGTTTCCTTTCCTTTTTGAAAATTTACAGATATGCTTTTCTAGATTTGTGGGACTTTAGCCATTTACTTTGAGGTAATTCTAATGTGTCCAATGATATCCTTTGGCAATGATTTCAATTTATTCAGTATGATAAAAAAAAGTTTCGATTCTAGTTTATTTATATTTTACAAGTTTCTTGGAGTCAAATCATTTGTATTCTTGTTTTTAAAAATCGTGTAATCTTAATGCTATGGATAATACATAAAAAAAAAGATGCCTTAAGTCAGAGAATATTTTATTGCTGTTTAATGTATCATATGTTCAAGTTAGTTTTAGAGCCAACATTTACAGAAAGGATCTAGAAGGACTAGTTTCACATGCAGACCATTTTATAAGTGTAAAGATGGTCTGCTCATAACCTTCCTGTCTATGTTTCACATGGTCTTATATATTTTCATGAAAAAAAATGTGAATCCCTCAAAATTAAATTTAGATAATGTTCAAAACAGCTCATTCTTCAATGTTACATATTACAGATTCTTTCTCATTTCAGGAAGAAGAATTAGAGACTAAATTCCAAGAACTAGCCACTGATGTAGCTCCACTATATAAACAAATAGCTCCAGATGCTTATCATAATCAGGTGTGTGTGGTGTATTGGATATATATTGTGTTTAAAAAGCAGAATTTTTGCTATAAATGTTGACATGATAATTTGATTGATCAATAAAAATAACTCTTGTATTTTCTTTCAAGAAAACCGAATCTGTGATACTGTAAACCAGCAAATTTTCACAAGCGATTCACTTTCTCGAATACAAAAATAAAAATGAATATAAATTGTTGTCAATATGTCAGAGCTTTTTTTAACAAATACAAAAACAAGGTGATATACAGGAAAATAAATTGAAATATAAACACAACTGTAAATCGGAAATACAAATAAAATTGAGATTGGAAATGGGGAATATGTCAAAGAGACAACAACCCGACCAAAGAGCAGACAACAGCCGAAAAAATCCCGCACCCGGAGCTGGTCCTCAGCTGGCCCCTAAATAAAATTGTGTACTAGTTCAGTGAAAATGGACGTCACACTAAACTCCAAAACATTATAACTGATGCTACAATACAAAAGCATCAAAGAAAACCTTCAAACATGTAATTCCTTGCTATGGACAGGCACAAGTAAATGGTGCATAGTTAAAAACACAACTGGTTAACAACCTGTAATTTGCCTTATATCAAAAGCAATATTAGAAATGTGTCTGTTAGAGTAGCCATGTTGTCATACCATGCACTAGAAATATTTCTGTGTTTGTTATCCAGATACTATTAAACTGAAGGAATAATTTTATCAATATATTTTCCCAAAATATACACTTTGAAACTTGATGATGACGTTTAAGAGTAGTAATGTTCCGATTAACTAGCCTACTGGATCAACAGGTTCACTGACAGAAAATCTGAAAAATCTGCACAAAATAGCAAGATTGAGTGAAAATGAGTTAGTTGAAATATTTCATATAGACTTTGTGGAAACAAAAGAAATTTTCAGTTTCAAACCTGGATCTTGCTAAACGTAAAATAATTTCACTTGTTCATTTTGTAGGTTGCATTTGAAGATAAAGCAAGAGACTGTAGACTAGGGTTTCAGGAAGGACGGCCATTTTCTGGTGTGACATCATGTATTGATTTCTGTGCACATGCTCATAAGGATCTTCATAACATGAATAATGGCAGCACAGTGGTAAGTTTTCAGCTCACCTAGTTACAACAGAGAGAAAGTTTCAAGCTCACCTGGTTACAACAAAGATGAATTCTGTTCTGTCTTAATAACAAATTTCCACTACTGTTGACCTGGTTTTGTCCATTGCGATCTCTTTATTATATACAGTTTTTTTTATTGATAAACAGTTATTTCTCTATTTACTTCTGATGAGCAGAATCAACTCTAAAGAATAACATGAAAAATTGCCATCTTTTTAATTATTATTATTATTATTCAGTTGGCTGGAATACTTGTGAGGTAATATTCAACCAAAATAATGAATTTCCTTTACAAAATTTGAAATTTTCTTTGGTTGCCAACAAGTTTTTACAATTTTTATACACCAAAACAACATTTTTAGTAACATAAAATTTAATTGGATGTAAAAACAATAACAGGTCACTGTACAGTTTTTAAAAATTACTCCGGCTTCCTCCACCAAAAAAATACTGACCTCCACGAAATAGCACAATAGTGCTGAAAGTGGTGTAAAAAGTAAAATAACAAAATACTGAACTCCAAGGGAAATTCAAAACGGAAAGTCCTTTATAAAATGGCAAAATCAAAAGCTCAAATACATCTAACGAAAACACCAATCAATCAATCAATAAAAAATGAGCAAAACCCATATCGTAAAGAAAGCTATGAAAGGCCCTAGCATGCCAGATGTAAAATAACTTTAAATAGAAAACTAAAGGCCTGATTAATGATATATGGTATTGTTCAAAAGGATAACAGCATGATTTATAATTTCTATTAGTGTTCAAAATGACTACTGATTAAACATATGAAAGATATGAAAAATGTGCAGAAGTTATATTAGTAAACAACAGTTATGATTTTTGTCGAGCCTGCGACTTTTGTCGAGCCTGCGACTTTTGTCGCAGAAAGCTCGACATAGGGATAGTGATCCGGCGGCGGCGGCATTAGCTAACTTCTTAAAAGCTTTATATTTTAGAAGCTAGAAGACCTGGATGCTTCATACTTTGTATATAGATGCCTTATGTTACGAAGTTTCCCTCTGTCATATGTCCATTGTCCTTGACCTCATTTTCATGGTTCAGTGACTACTTGAAAAAAAAGTCAACATTTTTTGTAATGTTAATTTCTTTCTTATTATGAGTAATAGGATAACTATATTTAGTATATGTGTACCTTGCAAGGTCCTCATGCCCGTCAGACAATTTTCATTTGACCTCGACCTCATTTCATGGATCAGTGAACAAGGTTAAGTTTTCGTGGTCAAGTCCATATATCAGATACTATAAGCAGTAGGGCTACTATATTTGGTATATGGAATGATTGTAAGGTGTACATGTCCAACTGGTAGGTGTCATCTGACCTTGACCTCATTTTCATGGTTCAGTGGTCAAAGTTAAGTTTTTGAGTTTTGGTCTTTTTTTCTAATACTATATGCAATAGGTCAACTATATTTGGTGTATGGAAATATTTTATGATGTACATGTCAGTCTGGCAGGTTTTATTTGACCTTGACCTCATTTCCACGGTTCATTTCTCAGTGTTTAGTTTTTGTGTTTTGGTCTGTTTTTCTTCCAACTATAAGCAATAGATCAACTATATTTGTTGTATGGAAGGATTGTAAGGTGTATATGTCTGTCTGGCAGGTATCATCTGACCTTGACCTCATTTTCATGGTTCATTGGTCAATATTTAGTTTTCTTGGTTAAGACTGTTTCTTAGAAACTATAAGCAATAGGTCAACTATGTTTGGTTTATTGAATGATTTTAAGGTGTACATGTATTTCTCGTTTGGTTTATCTGACCTTGACCTCATTTTCTTGGATCATGTTAAGTTTATGTGTTACTTGTAGTAAAGCTTTATATTTAGGACTATCAACATAAAATCAATGGTTAGTAAAGAAGGCGAGACATTTCAGTGTGTGCACTCTTGTATAACACTTTTTTTCATTTTTTATATTTTTATATTTTAAACAGGTAGTGACTTTAACAAAACATAGAGGACTTGAGAAAGCAGAAGATGAACAACTCCATGTTTTACCCCTATATGTTATGGATATGTCTGATGAATATGGAAGTGCCGATGCACAGTATGAAAAAGTCAAAACTGGTGCGTTAGAAATTCTAAATTATTATCAAATGGAGGCTAGGATAAGAGCAACTCCACTGACACCTTCACGGAAAAAGAAAAAAGATGGGAAGAAAGGTAGCCCGGGTCGTAAAAAGGGCAGTGTAAATAAGAACAATTCTTCCCCTGTCACACCAAAAAGGAAAGTGGTCGAATCTACTCAGGATTCCAATATCTCATCAGACTTGTACTATAACGGTGAAAAACATGGGTCAAATTCAGGGACACCGCAAAAGACCACACCACTAAAGACCAAAAAATCTAGCAAAAGCTTAAGCTCAAAAACCAGTTACGAAGAATTAATGAACAATGCTTCTCAACCAGGATTTGCTGATCTCTACGATTCATTTTGGAATTATTTTTATTCATTTGGATCATTCCCACCTGCTGATTTTATGGCTTCCATGAACATGAAGGCACAGAGCCTTATCAAAAAATCTAAGGATTTAAATCAAACTTCCGAAAATAGGCAGCCCTCATTAGACATGAATGGAATTTCTCCTCAGATTGAATCATCATATTTGAATTCACATAATCAGGAAAACCATCATGATTTGAAAAATATTCAGACATCTTCCATTTTAAAATCTCAAGAAAAGGCAGCAGATGACACATTTCATAATCCATCTCATCCATTTCAATTCCCACAATGCAATTCATTTGAAAATAAAAAATATCAGGATGAACAAAGTGTTAAAAATCAAATAAATGCTCATGAACTTTCAGGTCAAATTGCCAATGGAGATACTGAGAAAATGTGTACCAATTTTACTGGTATTGTGAATGAAATTCAGAATGCATCAGGATATAAGAACGGTGCTATTGAACAAAATACCTCAAATGTTGATGGGCAGCATACTACTCTGCCTGTAGATCTTTCAAATAAACAACAGCCATATATCAATCCGTACTCTGGGAAAGACAATTCATTCCAAAATTCTGACACAAGTAGTAGAAATTACGAGTTGAAACAAAACGCAGCCTTTGAGTCACCTCTTCATCTTTTATCGGAGGCTGTCAGTATGAGAACAAACGAATTTAGTAACGATTTTTCGTCACAAGATCTACCTCAGAATACTCAACCTTATCATCTCGGTGATTCATCATTGAATAAGAATGTTCAAAATGGCCAAAGAACAGGTCAAAACGACTACATGAAAAATTGCATATCAGAATCTGTCCAGAATCCTTTTAATCCAATGCAAACGAATTCTGTAAATCTTGATGCTGATATAGACCAAAATATTTTAAAATGTGAAATTGAGTATAATGAAAATGCGTTTAGGGATCAAAATGTTGGGGGCGTTGCAATAGCATTAGGTCATGGTTCTGTTCTCTTTGAGGTTGCTAAACATGAACTGCATGCAACCACTGGACTCAAACAACCAAATCGTCATTCTCCAACTAGAATCAGCTTGGTTTTTTATCAGCACAAAAATATGAATTACAAACATCATGGTATGTTCATGTATGAAAAAAAATGTGAAAGAGTGCGACAAAAAAGACTTCAAGATTTAATGAATGGAACCGGTGAAAAAATACCAGATTCTGTACTAGAAAAGGCTATGAAAGGTCCCGGTAAGAAGAAAAAATCTAAAAAGGAGGAAAAGTTTGATATTATGAAAACAAGTGCAGCTCAATACAAATATATGTGGGACACAACAACAGCTAGGTCGGAAACCATGACAACTGAATCCGTTGTCACACATTGGGTAAAACCCCAACCAATGGTTACTGGTCCGTATCAACGTTGGATATAAAATATGATCTCATTCTATTAAAGATTCAGGGCTATTTTCATCCATAATTTTTGTTGTATAAATGACAATCGCAGCTGATGTATTTTTGCTTGCATTCACTTTATAATATTATTGATAATTTATTAACAAGGACCTTTGTCTTCAAGAATTATTGGGGGAGGGGGGATTTACTGGATACATTGTTAGTTTTTGGTATACAGTTTTCTTGATTATTTTTTAAGATATTACTTTCATCTTTAAGGGCAAAAATCTGACATGAAATAAGATATTTTTGCTACCTGTCTTAAGACCACACAAACAGAAGTTTCTTGGCTTGAATTTAAATCCCCATGTTGGTCATGTCTTCATTCACAATTTCTATACTTGTTAGGTGTACTTGACGTTTCTAAATTATCTACCTAAACAAATTTTGGGATTGAGGCTGTGAACACTTATGGTTGTTTAAATCACATGTATCAGCAGAAAGGATTACTATCAAAATTGTAAACTTAAGATATGTTGGAAATCTTATGTATGTTCGTTAAGTTAAGTTGATTTATTTAGTAAAATATAAATATTATGGGATTTTTTCATAGTTATTTTTGTTAGAGTATAGGGCTTTTTTTTTTTGTTTTGTTATAGTTTTTTTGTTATTTTTATTTCTTGTTTTGAGAAACAGAATTGTTAAGGAAAATTAATGTTGAAAATGAAATGTGCTACAAGGATTAATTTTTTAATTAAAAACAAATTTGTGTGATTGAACAAACATTGCATGATATTTGGTTTAGATCTATCCCTTTTAACTTGATTTTTTTTAAAAACTTTAAACACTTTTATAATTGTAATTCATATTCAGTCAAATTGCCTCATAGTACAAAACTTTTTTTTAAGTCATGGTATATTATGTTTAATTTCATCATTTTCAAACATTGTTTTTTTTCACTTGATGATATTTCTTTTTAAAATTCAGAAATAACAATTAGTACACCTTGAAGATTTATCACATGTGGTTGTTTGAAAAATACATCATTCATTTTAAGTATTTTATTTCAGTAAATTTATAAACTTTTCAATTTTATATTCACATATTTTTAACCATTTTATTATGTAGCATTTAGCTCAGGGATTGTCATGTAATTTAATTATATTTTTTTCTTCCTCTTTCTATAGATGCTGTTAATCTGTGATTTTGTGCTTTAATTCTTATTAATTGTAAAAAGAATCAAATTTGTAAATGAAATTTGCTGTACATAAATTCTATTGTAAATTATAAATTATTTATGAATGTGTTAAGTATTTTTTTAGTTATAAAGTCATTTTTTTTCTGCTGCACTGATCTATCAACACATAGGGTCAAATCTTTTTTTTATATATATGTTTGATGAATTGTCTCCCTTTTCAGAGCTTCCTTTCAAAATTTGAATTACTGACAACTTTTCTATAGAAATACACAAATAAGGGATAAGCTTGGAGATAGTTTTTTAGTTTTTTCTAACTCAATATACATGATTTAAAACTCTTTCACAAATATGTTGATATGATAAAGATACATAAATAATGAGTTTTCTCTGCTATATATTTTGTTTTGATATTAGTGTAATGTTTCTTTAACTCCTCAATTCATTACCAGAAATAAAAAAAAAATACAACTTTTGAATTTTTGAATTGCTTCCAGTCTTTACACAAATATCCCTAAAACAGACTTTGAACAAATAAAAAAAAATATCCACTGGAAACAAACCCCCTAGTGTATCACTATAAAATAAAAAAAGTAACAGCACAAAAAACATTTGATTGGAAAAGTTTATACACAAAAATATAAAATGACTTTTTAAATTTTGATACTGTTATTTACGTGCAGAATTTCCTGAAATTGCAAGAATAATTTATGCATTTTTGTCCATTGTTAAATAATTTAATTTTGGATGTAACACGTCTTCTGATTGACTGAAAGTTTTTTGTTTTTATCAGCTCAGACATAATTTTGTCATGTGACTGTGACGTCATCAACATTTTTTCATGATTTACTGCTTAAAAAATGAATTGAATTATAAGGCTGACTTTAATATTTTTTTCTGTCTATTCGAAATAATCTAAAAAATGTGGTGCACACTTTTGAATAACCCGCCACGCTGGTTATTCAGTGTGCACCACATTTTTTATACGACCGAAAAAAAATTTTGGGATCGTATAATGGTATTATGTCGTCATCGTCGTCTGCGTCGTCGTCCGAAGACACAGTGGTTTCCGGACAATAACTTTAGTTTAAGTGAATGGATCTCTATAAAATTTTTTAAGAAGGTTCAATACCACAAAAGGAAGGTTGGGATTAATTTGGGGGATGACGGTCCCAACCGTTTAGGAATTAGGGGCCCAAAAGGGGCCCAAAACAAGCATTTTTCTAGTTTCAGGATAATAACTTGTGTATTAGTATTTCGATTGCTCTGAAATTGTATCACAATGTTTAATACCACAAGTAGAAGGTTGGGATTTATTTTAGGGGTCATGGGGCCAACAGTTTAGGAATTAAGGGCCAAAAAGGGGCCAAAAACAAGCATTTTCTAGTTTCCAGACAATAACTTGTGTGTAAGTGTATGGATCTCTCTGACATTGTACTACAAGGTTCCATATAACAAAGGGAAGACTGGGATTGAGTTTGGGGTTAATTGCCCCAAACGTAGGAATTAAGGGTTAAAAAAAGGGCCAAAAACAGGCATTTTTCTAGTTTCCAGACAATAACTGTTTAATTGTATGGATCTCTCTGAAATTGTACTACAATGTTCCATACTACAATGGAAAGGCTGGGATTGAGTTTTGGGGTTATTGCTCCCAGGGAGGTTTCAAAAAAGTTTGGGGGGGGATTTTTTTTTCCAATTTTTTTAAGGGATTCATATTTTTTTTCAAAAGTTTTAAGAAGAAATCTTCAATTGCACAGTATTGTGCAATAGATTTGTAAGATCTTTAACCACATTTATTTTGTGTCGGAAACCTATATTATGTTAAAAAATTGATCACAATCCAAATTCAGACAGTATCAAGCTTGAATATTGTGTCCAAATTTGCCCAAACTGTTCAGGGTTCAACCTCTGCGGTCTTTCAGGCTGCACTCAGCGAAGCATTTTATTATGTTATTTCTTCATAGACAGAAAAAATATTACAATCATTCCTTAAATAATCATTATCTTAAATGCATGAAAAATTTCAGAATTTATAGTACTCTAAAAAGAATTATGATAAAAACAATTAGGGAGTATTTCTATTATTTGACAAAAGAGTTGATCATGTAAAATGTTGATTCATTTATTTTCATGGATATTTGATTTTGGCAAAGGTTTGCATATATTAAAAGCCTATAGAAAATTTGTTTAAAATTCAATTTAATTCATGGTTGACCTATCTCCACGACATCCACAAGAAATTTTTGCTCCACGAATAATAAAGAATCCACAGCATATGTTGATAGTTAGTGCAATAAATATTTTAAAATGGTTTTATGCTAGATTGTTTGTTGTTAGTTAAGATGTTGTTGCCTATCAGACGTTTTTATTCTTTCTTTCTCCTAAATATATTTTGTATTATATATAAATTATGATTTTTTTTTTCCTCTTGGAATATGATGTTGAAGAAATATTTTTATTTGAAAATATAGTGCTGATTAAATCATGGAAATTATTTATGTATTAATTTGTATGTATATTTTTGGAGAAATAATAAACAGAATATTATTCACACAAAGTATGAGAGAATATTATAAAGTAAAATTAATAACTACAGTTTATGGGTTATGAAAGTGCTAAATTTGGGATTGGATATGAATTGTTCTAATCTTTAATGTTTATCATAATTACCTGAGTATATTGTAAAAAGTATGATAATAAAAAATACCAGTTTATGGCCATGTTTATAAGAGTACAAGTGTCCAAAATGATAAAAAAAGTAGAAATTAAGACATTATAGTTCATTCTCAAAACATAATAGAGCACTCTCCATATGATATATATATTTTTACCCCTTTAAAAAAAAACTTTCTGAAAAATCTCTGGCTTCATCTGTGAATAAATTCATAAGAATTTCTAGTCAGTTTACGCTTCCAGAAACAATGCAATTTCCTACCTAATTAGGGTTATTTTTATTTTAATTCTTATTTACTGTATCTGTATAGAATGAGCATGATTATTTTTGTTTATAAATCTTAAATATGAAAATCTAAAATTCCTTATAGATTTTTTTCATATTGGGTTATACAGGAGTTATAAGTTTTTACTTTTAACTAAGTGACATGATTTTAATCTAACTCTGTGCAGATAGATATTCCAAACCCCCTTTTTTTAATCTGTATGATTTTGTGTGTACTCAGGTCTTCATTGATAAATAATAAGTTAATATGTCAAATTGTAAAAGTATGAAGCATGTTTTTTTGCAGACACATAGAAAAATCATCTTGTATAATACTATAGTTCTACTCTCTGGACAATTAAATTAACAAAATACTGAGCTACCTCGAGTGGAAAATAGAGGATTTAACATAATACATCTGTAGAATCTATTGCTGAGTTCACATGTAATTAGAATTCCATTCGCATTCGAAATGTTTTAGGTCTGAACGTAAATTTCTATACAAATTGCAATGCGCATCAAATTGGCTTTACTGTCCGACTGGCGTTAACTTTTAATTCGCATTATTAATTAATTGATTATAATTTATAACAGAACAACTATTTGGAACCAATAACATCTCCAAACTTGCTCTCTTGATCTGATTCAAAATTATTACATTTTGAAAATGTATGTTTAAAAGTAAAAATTTAAAATTTTTAATTATGTCCAATAATACAGTCATTTACGATCAAGTAGAAAATAAATATTTTTGAAGGTAATAAAATTTCATGATTTATTGGTCAATGGAAGATAAAATAAATCTGAAACTTAAACTGGTAACTTTTTTCAATGTTTTTTTTTCTACCTTTCAAAATTTACATCTAAAACAAGTTTAGTTCAATCCCTTAAGATAAAAAATGTCGACGTTATTGACAACCTATATTAAGGTCAATGTACAGAGAATTGTAAAAAATTTCAGTCATAATTACATATCGTATATATCATACATATGTTGTACTTTTCATATAAATCTACCCATTTTTTCGGTTACCCAAGATGCCCTTTTCAGAAATGAAACTACATGTACCATACTTTTTTTACATCTTTTTTAATTTTTGAAATCTTTGTAATCACATTTGTGCTCCATATATAGATATAAGTAATAGAGTTATGGTGTTCACTTGATTTTTTAAAGTTTTTTTGTTTGTTTTTTTTTTAAGTAGCACAATTTTTTAACTTACACCTTTAATATATTTTGATTTTTATGAAAGTTTTATTTTAAACAGCAAATATTTTATCGAAATGAAAGGGGGGTAAGAATTTATTTGAAAAACAATTTACAATCTTTTAACATATGCTTTTAGATATATTTAAATTTTTTAAAGTCTTGTTCTAACAGCAAAACTTTTATTGAAATGAATGGGGGGGGGGGGTAAGATTTTTTTTAATTTCTCGCAACTTGTGCTAGCTATCCTGTCATTGTTTCTGTATGTTTGTGTTGTATGTTAGTGAATTTGAAATATTTTTATAACATGGAAATTCATGTTGTTGTATAAAAATATTATACTTTTTATACACATATATATGTAATGGATATTATTATAGAGAGTAAATGTGATTTCAGAAAGTTTTACCAAGTAATATTTATTTGGTATGTCTATTTACAAACAATTAAAACATTTTCTGAACTTTTTGTCTATTTCTTTGATAATCATGATGTGTTTAGATCTATAATTTGCTATATGATCAAAATTAATGCAAATGCTTTCGAGTAGGCCTCTATTTTACTTCAAACATGCCAATCTTCTTTATGCTAAGTTTTTCTTATGTATGGTTTCACACTTGGTCATCCGGGAAGCTTTTTATAACTTACTATACAGTATGTGATTTGATCATTGTTAAAGGCTGTATAGTTACCTTTAATTGTGTACATCTTTGTCCTTTGGTCTTCAATGGAATGTAATCTCATTGGCAATCATAGGAAAGATTTTATATTTGGTCTGGATCTTGATTATGTTGAGATGTAGGATGTAAGGAATTTTAACATCAGCGCTGCAACCAATTCCTGTTTTCCAATAGTTTTCACAGCTTCTACAGAAGGGAATTATCAGTTATGCTTCAGTATACATGTTGCAATGCAGCATCACAGGTCTTTTATTTATATTGATCCGGGGAATCAAAAGAAATGGATTATCTTACTTTGGATTCATATATATCTTGTAATGAAGTTGTGTTCCATAACATAGAATAGGTCAACATGACCTTTATTTATCATTTGAGGGACCCAGTTTCAAATCTCAGATTCAAACTTCTATACAGGCACACATTAGTTAGCTAGTTAACACCTGTGTTGAAGTAGGACAAACATACTTTTTACAATTTACTGATTCATTCGAGTTTACATCAAAGTTTCTATCACAATAGCTGATGGTCACATGGGGGCCTTCAACAAGGAGATAAAAGGTCACACCTCACAGCAAGTTCAAGACCTCCCCTAGCACGGGTTTGAGGGAAATTATTTGTTAGATGTCAAGAATGCTATATTAGTGTATTGAAGAACAAAGTTGTGGTGTAATATCAACAAATGACTATAAAAAGGCACAGAAGAGATAACAATCACTAACATAATTTCCCACGACTATCTCATTGTAAAAGAAAGAAACAATATAAACGGAGAGACACAGAGCTTATCAAGATAATTGATGGATAGGTGAGCATTAATATGGCAAATAATTTAAATGGAATGCATAGCAATTCAGATAAATCTCTGATATATCTAAAGATTTAAAATAATATTTCACTATAAGCAGTCAGTTAGGTTCAACTTTGTCAAAATTAGCTAAAAGATATTGCTGATGTAGTATGTCAATAATTCAACCTCATTTGAATCCCTATTCAGGTGACCTTTAATTTGACCCTTAGTTAGAGCATTTAACAAGGGAACCACCAAGAAGAACCTTTCTGTTTAATGATGTGTCTCACAGAAAATCATTCTTATACAGGAAAAATGATGATTTAAATATTTTTTTAATCTTTGAAATTAAATCAAACAGACCTAGAAAAATCCATTACACATGCTTGTCTTTATTCATGTTTATATCGAGGCATATGACCATCAGTCTTAGATGGTTATCTCAATGTTTAATCAAAATCTTGATACATCTTATTGAGTCCATGCATAGTTTATTGTTACTTTTGGACCTTTTTGTAATTTAGACAGATGTTTTAGTATGGACCATATCGGTGAACCCTAGTTGAATTTGCCTTTTTAGCTATGCTTTCTTTGTGTGTGTTCCAATTAATGTTTTTTTTGTGTGTGTTCCAATTAATGGTTTTATGGATGGTTACACCTTAGGATTTGCTGAATCAACCAATTATAAATTATGCCCATGGATGTTATGACTTGTAGGATGTGGTTTGCGCTTGTTGGTCGCGTGGATCCTTCTGTACAGTATGCAGTCATCTGCAAATAAATGAACTATTGATGACTGTACGACAGTTCGCTGATAAACAGAAGGAACATAATTAGACAGGTGCAGTGTGAGATGTTTTACCGTCCGCAACAACTCTCTGATTTCTAGGGCATAGCAAGTCCCTGATCATCAACTGACGTGTTGACCCGATGATACCATAGTATTGCGCTTGATAGAGTAATCTCTCATGAGGAATGATCAATGTTCTCAGCCAAGTCCTAATTGTAAGGATGAGTTGTGACTCGCAGGAACAGTTCTTTCTAAATCCATGAAGAGCGTTGTTAAGGATGCCATGGATTTCAAGATAATTTGCAATACTACCGCAGATTATGTGTTCTATGATCTTAAATGTGACAACAGACAAGGAAACTGGACGGTACTAGTAGTTTACGTGATTTATCTCTTTTCTTGAAAATTGGTACGACAAAGGTTTCTTTCCAATCTGGTGGCATGGTGCCTTGATTGATTGATGCTTGAAAGAATGTTGTAAATGCTTCTGCCAGGTATAGCGCAAGCTCTTTGAAAATTCTTGTTGGGATCTCATCTGGACCAGCTGCTTTGTGGATATTTAAGTTAATAATACTTAACTATTTGAGAACACCATTTTCAGTTACGTATAATTTGTTCATTGTTGGATGTTGACTCTGTCCTGGTATAAGGGATGGTATTGACTCCTAGCTCACTGGTGTTGAATACTGAGGAAAATTGGTCGTTTAGAATATTTGCCTTTTTGTTCATTTTCTGAGTATGTGAGTCCATCTGAATGTTTGAGAAGTGAAACTCGAACAGATTCGCATTTTTAATAAATCCTTAGAATCTTTTAGAATTTGCAGATAATCCAGGTTTGATGATGTCGTTAATGCAGTATCTATATGCCTTCCTACATTCTTCTGTGTTGAGCTTTTCAGTCGATGGCATCTGTCAATATAAGATTTTCTTTGGTCTTTCTTGGTTTTTCAAAGCTCCTCCATCATCTGCAGCTGTCTTGTTAGTTGTTTGATTTTCTGGTTTATCCGTGGTTGATTAAATCATCAAGCTGACATTTTTGACGGTACTGTTTCTTCAAGTATGGTAAGTAAGTGGGATTAAATAAATTTTGTTAAAGTTGTAATATCAGTGTCGATGTATACGATATCTTGGTTAAGGAAAGTAATGTTTTCTCGCATTGGATTTTGACGGTCAATGATAGATTGTGTTTTCCAACATATATAAGGTAGATTTATATCTCCCTATCTCCCCTATGCCAAACTACTGATGATCTGTTCTTTCTAATCCAGTTGTCCACTGTAAATTTAATTTTCTTCATGTATATATATATATATATATATATATATATAGCTATGTCACTGCTATGTGGTCTGTAGATACTACCAATGATGAGCGATTTGTTGTTATGTAGCTATATTTTAATAGATATTGTGTCATTATCTATGTATACAAGCTCACATATATATATAGTCTGATTTATTTGCGACAAAAATTCCCTCATAGCCATCCCATCTATCTTTCCTGTATACTGTGACAGTGTACCCGTCAGGGAAGATCTCAAAGTTACTGATTTTACAATGTAGCCAGGACTCTGTATCAGAATAATTTGGATTTGCTGAGTCTAATAAGTTGCTATTTGGATTTGCTGAGTCTAATAAGTTGCTAAGTTCTTTTTTGTTTTCAAAACTATGAAAGTATACAACTAGTACCTTTGTATTCCCAGGTTTGTGGTAGTTGCTCCTATCTGTTCTATTTGTTTTTATTGGAGATTATGTGAACACTGGTGGTTCTGGACTCATAGGTACATTTGATTTGTATAAATGTTCGAAACTATTTGACGTATTTACCATAAGACTCAAATTAACTCGATGAAAAATTTAAGCCACAGGAAAGCAGTGCAATGAAATAATTTAGCTTGCTAGAGTATTGTTTGCAGGAGTTGACATGTGCATGCATTCTGCATGGTACCACTTGCTGCAGTCATCGCATTCTACCCTTCTGTCATTCCAAGTTATTTCTTTATAACATATTGACAAGGGTATTTTGGAGCCCTGGGACCAGGGTTTGATTCTATATTAGAACCACTTGTTTGAAGTAGAAGGATTAGGTACAGGAGTGTGTGCTGACCTGGATGTTTGACAAGTCTGATGTTGTTTTGTTTTCGACTACTAGTATTTACCAAGAATTTGATACTGAGCTCTATGGTTTAATTTTCATTAGTTTTATTCTCAGATGTTTTCGATTTATCCGAGACATTTTGTATATAAACATTTGGTATACGTTCGATAAAATCTGGCAAGAATTGTACGCGTGAGAGCGCTAACAATGCGATTTATATCTATATATTTAATATTACCAAGGGGCATAACTCTTTAAAAAAAGTTGACTGGAAGTGTTTTTATTCTTATAAGTTTATCATGATTTATGTCCTTTTGAAAAGACATTTCATTCTGTTCAATACCCACTTGGTCATTCTTTGTAATTGTAAAGTCTGTTACATGGTTTACTGCATTGACACCACAAAGTTTTGTGTCTGAACCAAGTCGAGCTATTTAGACCATTTGCTGTTTGTCTTTGTACGTTTATTTTAGAATTTTATGTTGGTGTGGTCTTTTATACTGTTAAATATTTTTGCCATTTGGCACTGTGGGTTCATTTATTTTCAAGGATACCAATTTGCTTTACCAATTAAAGTGGATTGAGGAAGCGCTTTTCTGGATTTACCTCCACCAGGAACGCTCAAAGCCGAATATTTGAAAGCCAAGGATGTATAAGAACCGAAACAGTTCAAGAGCTATATGACCAAAATGGATATAAAAAATGCGAAATCCATCTTCGGTCAACTTTGTCCGAGGGAGTTGAAACCTTAGTTTCTTATATTCAACTGATACGATATTGATTACGTGGACTTAACAAAGTGTGTTTATAAGCCTTTAGAAAATGTGTTCTTCGTTGATCTGAATTAGTGGTTTACTTATACCCACGAAATCCACAAAAAAGGGTATCCCATGAATAATAATGAATCAACAGTAATTCCAGGTATCCATTTTAGTTCACCTGACCTAAAGGGCCATGTGAGCTTTTGTTAGTTTTTGGCTTATACCTCAAAGTTAAAGCTGTAATAGCAAAACTGACAATGTAAAAATAATCAACAGGTTTAAAGGGACATTAGCTGTCAAATTCATGTTCACCGATTTGACTCAAATTCTTATACATAGTATATTATT